CGTTCACGTCACCAGTTAGGAATGCTTAACGTACTAAGGCATTGACTCAATACCTAAGCACTCAGTAATGTTGTTTAAAACAAACGCGTCACAAAACATGCATACCTTCGAATAGCGCGACCAGCACGGACTGCAGATTTAAAAGTGAAAGCTTTTGGATTTTTGCCTTTCAAATTCAGACTTTCGGCCTTAGGACCTTTTGCTTTCTTTTTCAGTGCTTTACGGCCACTTTGCCTTGGTCGATGTGGTTTATTAGCAACATCAGTTTCTTCTACCATTGTTCGACAGCTATAAGTAACAGAAAATGAAAAAAAGGAAGTCTAGATTCAGAGTTATATTGAGTTCAAGTACTACGACGCAAGAATGTGATACTTTTCAACTGCGCGCATTATTATTATCGTTAATAAAACAATTAAGCTCGTTTGGCTTTAATTTTAAACACTGTGATAATTATATTGACACAAGGCGTTCATCGTTTCTAGGTTGTAATAAACGTATCATTCACCCGTGCATCTTCTCTAACCGAACTATTTAGAAGATGCACTGTCCCAGCTTCAGCAGGAACTCTTAAAGACTCGAAAACTGTCCGTCAGCATTCAGCATAAGTCAGCGCTTGGATATGCTCAATGTAACATTGTGCTCCACTGTTTCAGTTTCGATTCAGCAATCAATGATCTACTTTGTGATATCTTCTGCATTAATTGTAATCAGAGCACATTTCATCTTATTTATCAGCTATCTGCTTTATGTAATTTATCAGATGTTGAGAATCCTGAAAATGGGGTTTGTTGTGATCCCCTTCAAAAAGTAAACTGTCAAGTTTCAAATGACCTTCTTTCACGATCACAATTAAACAGTAAAACTCAGCGCAGAAACGAACATTATACAGATTATACGACTTAAGGTAAGGCATCTTCAACAACAGCTGCAGCTCCAGGCAACACCTGAATGCCGGAAATATGCAAAGGTTGAAGAGGTAAAGATTTCTTTAAAGCTATAGGTGGTAATTCACCCTTAAAGCCAGTTGTGGATCGCAAGGTGGAAAAGATGTGCTTAAGCTGCGGAAAAACAAAGACCAAATCTGCCAAAATGACCACGTGTTAAAAGCAGTGTAGAATTTGTTTAAAAATCAAATTCGGAAATTACGTATTTGGGCGTCAGTAAGGCACAACATAAGGTTAGTCCTGCAAACACTGCCAAGATTAAACCAACTTAGACAAAAGCATGTTTCAACACTGAGATTAGTCTCAAACCCTCAAAAATTTCACACAGAGCTATACCTTCCCTACGGGCAGTGGCACTGTAACACGAAGTTGGCTCCGAACTCCAGCGATACCAAGGTCGAATCCAGAAAAACAAAAAACACCCAACGTTGTTTCGGTGCAACCAGCATAAAAATTATTACCAAATCGTTGACATGCGAACAGCACTGACGACATGGTGATCTAATGTGCTCATACGTTTGCGAAATACGGCCATGCGAACAATCTGATGTGAATGCCTCTTACGTTCCGCTTCTCCTAGACCAATATGGTAGCTGAACATCCGATGTAATGATCGACACACGGTGTAACTAATTGGTTGTGCAGAGTACGTTCTTAATTCTCAAACTTCGGAATCTACTCGCAGGAAAAAGTAAAACATTTTTCTGAAGAGTAGAAAAGTTGTCAACTGCTCCTGTTGTTACGCATATATTCGATACAATTTTAAACACTTCGAAAGGAGTTACGGCTTTGAACACCACGGATAGAGGGAAGCGCCTGAAGTGTGTGTTTCTGGATCACTTGACCAGTGTTGTTGACAGTAATGCGTTACTGTCAAAATAAACATCGCAAACATTAGCTTCATGCATTTGTCCATATTCCTAGAAACCTTAACAATTCTTTAAAGAACTTCGTATAGCACGTTTATAGCAAATTTAAACATACAACACATTTTAAGTTCAGTTGTATAAAGTACGCTGCAAATATAACTCAAAAGAGCACAAAAGTTTGACCTGGCAACAAATAATTCGAAAATAAAACAAAATTGATAAGAGAACAACTTCGCTCCTCCTAAGAACAAACCTCAGAGGAACGAATGGCAAATGTGTACGACTGAAACCACTCATATTCTGAATCGACTGTTGAGAACAACAGTGCCTGGCAAAGTTCTCTTGTACTATTAGCAATACAGCAATGATCTGCAACTGAAATTCGTGATTACGAACGTCAGCACAGATTAACCCCTCACAAGCACGCACTCCAATATCGTAAGATTAGTGGCTCAATAAAATGTTGCGAAATTGAAGGTGTACTATAGAATAGTTTTATTATTTTTAGGTTCATTTATTTTCAATACTACAGGAAAACCTTCTTTGAATATTTCCGGGTTTATCTCTGGTAAACTGACACGTAGCACTTTATTCATCTGACACTGATTAAAACTAATTAGAAGGTCTCTAGTTTGACAGATAATCAAATTTATTTTATTTTCCGTCTAAAGGGACAACAGAATTAATTCATTAATTTTGCCACGGAATGGGCTGAACTCGCCATAAGTTGGGGGTAACATTTTTTTAGGTCTTTACTTAGTGATGATATCATTCAGCTACAATATGGGTAGAAGAGAATCACAGGTGTAGGGTGCAAAAAATCTATATCATCTTCAGAAGTATCGCACGTTCTGGTGGAATAACTAGAACAAGATTGATAATTACAGCAACAGCGGTTTGTATTACCAATGTCATTCTCATAATCCTGATATTTTTGTGGTAAAGCGAAAGTATCGGACGAAACTCATGCAAATGCGTTTTCTGGTATGATCATTATGAGATATCATGCTGTCCAATTTGTCCGAGACTTGCTACTTGCCTTTTGGTTGACTGCAGTAATGCAGAGGAAAAGAAATTTTTGTTCTAAGAAATTGAAAATTAGTGAAATTGAATTGAATTGAGAATTGAGAAAATTCCTCCTACACATTCTGTGCAAGCTCAACGCCGCCATAAGTTAAGAGCAAGGTGATGAACTGCTCTCTTCCTTCAAGATTAAATCTTGCGCTGATTACAATGCTGAATAGTCAGCAATCAGGTAGGTTATTGGAAGTGTAGCCAAAAGGGCGCTCGCATCTGACAGTATAACCACACACATCATGAATCTTTTAAAGACTATATGAGTACATCATGCCTCTCCTGTTGTTTGCAACTCTGCGACTTGCTAGTCATTTCTCATCTAATTGCACCAAATCAGCCTGCTGTATATTGTTTACTCAAGGAGCTGAAGCGAAGTTTTGTCTTCTGCGGGATTCGAACTCAGCATTTCCATGTTCCGAAGCAGACCTTTCAGACTGTGCCGCCTTGCCATGATTAACTTGAGAAATTTTAGTTTAGTCCACTTCTCTAATATCGGTCATGTATATTTTTTTAACGGCGTTATATTTATTTAATTTTTGATTCAATTTTGTGACATTGTGATGGGATATATTCTGTCAAAAACATTAAGAATTTCGTCTTACTTTCTAAGCTCAGACAAGAATTAGGTACAGATAATAATCAAAAATATGTTCATGACAATATACCGTCTGTTCAGTAGTGCTGCAACATTCGGAAAGATCGGTCCTCTTGGAAACGTATTATTGTAATGTAGAGTCTCTTTGCTTAATGGGATTGCTTAGATGCATGCTTCTTTGATGACTACTCTTTGCACATTATGCCGTTTCATTGACATAGAAGATACACCACTGCAGGCGTTACCTTGTGTAAGGACTGTTGGCAAGCACTGTTCGAATGCCCGTTGACGTTTAGCCGTGAAGAAATCTTATTACGCGTTGGGTCGGAGCTTCAAGACAGGAGTCAATAACTCTCATTCGCTTTATAGTTGTGGTCATTTTTCAAAAGCAAGGGAGACCGCAATGGTATTGGAGCTGGACTTGTTCCGCGTAGACAAAGGCGGAAACCCGGATGTGATTCGCGAAAGTCAGCGAAAGCGATTCAAGGACGTGACGTTGGTTGACAAAGTGGTTGATGCCGATGCGGAGTGGCGAAAATGTTCGAACAGTGGAGTGTGCAAGATGCTTGGCAACTAAGTTGTCTTCGTTATAGGTCGTTTTCGTGTCGACCAGTGGAACCGTCTGAGAAACCTGTGCAGCAAGGAAATGGGCAAGAAAATTAAGGTAAGAATTTTCAGACATGATCATCCTATAAAATTGTATGAGTGCGTAAAATGTTCGTTTTTCATAAACTTGAATCTGCTTATGAAAGTATGAGAATTAGAGTTTCATCATTTGGCTGAAAGGGCAGCAAAGACAAGCCGAATAGAACCGAAATTTATCATGTGTAGAAATATGAAGTATAAAGTTTGCGAACATATCAACCGAGACAGAGGATCCGAACTTTGCACGGATTGGACAGGCCTGTTGTCGAAAAACTACTTAACCAGCAGCATTCGCTCTACACTTTATTGCAACAGTGGATTACAAAACGAACTTTGGAAATCGACCTTGTATACCCTGAGGAACGCCCTTGGGGTACGGACCCAAATTGTTCCTACTGCGTAATAACCCTATTGACCATTTTGTATGCGTTTTGTAAATTCTAATTGAATAAATCGTGTTTTTATACATTCTTTAGTATATTTCGCAAACTCGTACGAAACAGACTTTTTATCCTAAATGGTTATATAATATTCTATAAAAACAAAGTTGCTACGTTACGGCGGCTGTTTTTTAGATTAAGTTGAATAAAAATGCTTGCATTTCATCCTGATCTTATGCTGAGCTAAGGTGGTGACAGTGAAAATGATGGTCTTGGTTTTACTTTGTGATATGACTTGCATGTTGTGATATTGACAGTGAGCATCCATGGTGGCAAATAGCTATATAGCAGACGCCCGGACGACATCGGACGAATCCACCCCATTCAGTTCTTCTGGAAGAATCGTACTTATAAGGGAGATAAGTAATACTGAATGAGTCTTAGATTTGTGACTCATTCTCACCTCTGTTCAAAATAAGATTGCATCATTCGTCAGAAAGATGACGAATGAATGACGACGTGAATAGACCTGTTTTGTTATGTACTAAATTGAGTTTTTTAAGTTTGGACATCCAAATGGCGTGACGGTTGCGCTGTATTCTTTCCTTTCCTACTTGCATCCATCACACGTGATCGCCGGGTTCTTTTATCCATGGCTCAAAACTGGCGTTGCTCAGTTCAAAGGGCGGGGCAGGGTTGCTCATTCGGTTGATCGTCGAACTCAAAACGATGAGATCCCGGATTTGAGCCCCCGTCGGGTCATTCGCGTTTTTTCTTCAGAGGTAGATAAATGAATGCCACTCTGTGGCAAAATGAAACTGCACCGAACGCCTGCTCAGTCAACTCTGGCTTTAAAATAAGGCAGTCCTGGCTGATGGCATGACAGTGGAGATCAGCGCCCCTCCATTAAAATCATGAAAATTAGACCGCCAGAAATTTTAATGATGGAAATTTACGCATGACCGACGTGCCGATGGTTGCACATTTTCCTTCCTTCCTTCCTTCTTTTTCAGTAGTTTGGTCTGCACTATTCGTCTGCCA